ATATATATATATATATATATATGTATGAAATGATAATTTTATGAAAATAATGAGCTTTGTTGCGAAATAAAAAAAAAAGATGTTTCCACGTAGCACGAGACAGGACGAAAAAAAGAGACAAATAATAAATAAATAAATAAATAAATAAATAAAAAAGAGAAAAAAAAAAGAAACTTATATAGAGATCGTGAGTGTGTGAGTGAGAAGGTACAAAGAGTATAGAAAAAAAAGAAGGGGGAGGGTCGGGAAGAAAAATCAGAGTAAAAAGAATTGTAAAAAGAAAAAAAAAAAAAAACTAATTATCAGGTCAGAGTTCAAAAGTTCGCGCGCATTAGGTCATTTACAAATTTCGCAAAAAAAAAAAAAAAAAAAAAAAAAAGAAAAAAAAACAAAAAAATGTGCACGAACTTTTGTACCGCGACCAGATAAAATCATGAAAAAGAAAGCAAGAAACAAAAAGGAAAGAAAAAAAAAACCCAAACCAAATCAAACCAAACCGAACGATGTAACAATTGATTATAAAATTAAGTATTGACGAATAAATAAATATGATAATATGAGCATAAATAATTCTTGGTTGTTCTAGATGCCGCTACTATCCACGAATCCTTTGCACAAAAAAAAGCGGCTTCTTGTCCCCTAGAATCCGTAGATGCTAGTTATCTTCCCACTAAAACACAAATATCAGGCAAACAGGAGAAGAAGGAGGAGAAGGAGGAGGAGGAGGAGGTTGAAGAGGTGGAGGTGGTGGGGGAGGAGGAAGTAACTGATTACGATTTATCACCGGGAATTGAAAAACAAACGTATTCGGAGAAGAGAAAATTTTGGGAGGATATATCAAAAAAGAGAGAAAGTTATCAACGTTCCGAATCAGAAGTATCAAGGACATCGCAATTAACAGTTAACGAAAGTGATAGCGAATATATGCAAAATGTTGTATCGGAGGAAGAAGTAACGGAAGTTACATCGGTTGGTTCTGATACAATGGAAAATGTTAATTTGCCAGATATTTCGGAATGTTCTGTAGCAGAAAAGGCACATTATTTTGAGGAACAAATACAAAAGGAATTGAGCAAGGTACCTGCTGTTAAATTGACCCAATCACAACCACAATCACAATCACAACAACAACAGGATTTAATTAAATCTGAAAAAGATATGAAAGTTAAAGTTAAACATACGGATAAGATTGTTGTTGTTGATGTTGTTAGAGTTGAAATGAAACACGAGGGAAAGGAATTCAAATCTAGTCACGTTGAGGAAAAGGACGAGGATGAGAGTGACGAGTTGAGAAAGAAAGAATTACAAATTGAAGAAGAAGGGGGAGAAGTTATACGTAAGATTAAGGTGGATGAATTTGTTAAGAAGGAATATGATGGGAGATTAATTGTTGGTTTGGATAAGAGGGTTGAATTGGTTAGAGAAGAAGTCGTTGGGGAGAAAAGGGAAGAAGGGAGGAAAGAGGATGAAAGAAGGGGGGAAGGTGGTGATATTAAGAAGAGGGCTGTTGAGTTGGAGAAAAAATTGGAGGAAGAGGAAGTTAAGAGAAGGGATGCTGAATTTAGGAAGAAGAGGAAGAAGGAAGAGGAGGAATTGGAAGCTAAGAGGAAAGAAGCTGAATTGAAAAAGAAACAAGAAGAAGAAGAAGAAGAAGCTAAGAGGAAAG